CTGCCGAGCGCCGGCGGAGGCACCGAGTCGAGCTGCAAGTTGGCGAAGCAGGCCCCGCTCGCCAGCTGCGCTGGGTCGGGGCCGTCGAAAAAACTGTTCGGGGCGCGGGCGTCGATCGCGAGTCGCTGTGCACCCGGCTTCTTTCACGCGCTGCAGCGCCCGACTCGGCGCTGGACAGACCGACGGACATCGGAGAGATTCGCGGCGCGCGTCCGCTTCGAGAACTCGGCGTGCACCTTGCGACAGCGCGGGGCGGGGTCGGCGCAGGCCCGGCGCCAGCCCGGGAGCTTCGCTCTCGCCACCCCCTCCTCCTTCGGGAACTACTGAAGGGGCCCTCGGATACACAAATAAATACACGCAAATAGAAGGATTCCCCATATGTTTGTTCCCTTATTTTCCTGGTTTCTGCCTTCCCCCCCACTTCCCATATTTTCTTATATTTTCTATGGGATCGACGATTAATTGTGTCTGCGTGGTTCCCCCCTCCTGAAATTACCTGGACGAGCGGCCTCTTCTCGAGCCGCTCGCCCGCGGAGCCCGCGTCCCCTCCGGGCGCCGCAGGGCGGGAACCAGGGGGGGGGTCGGTCCAGAAGGTCCACGCGAGGAGGGTCCATCCTCCTTCTCCTCCCCCCCCCTCCTCCCGCAGCCCAGACGAAAAGCCGTCGTGGGCCAGCTTGGGCGGGAGCTCGTCGAAGGCCCCTGGCCCGTCGAAGTCGTCGGGGGGCAGCCCAGTGACCAACTGCTCCAGATATGACCCCCCCGGGATTGAGGAAGTTCGGGGCCGATGGGGGGCGGCGGGCGTTTTCCCGGAGATCGCAGCATCGTGGCGATGACACAAATGGTCCTGGATGCTGCGTAGGAATCCTTGAAACATCCTTCGGATGTCATAGGGTGCCCATTGTATTCCTCAGGACGCGCGCAGGGTTCCAAGGGAAATCCTGCAGATTCCTTCGGACACCCATAGGACCCCTTAGGGGTCCATCGGAATCCTTAGGACATCCATTGGACTCCTTGGGAAATCTATGGGAATCCTTCGGCGATCCATGAGATTCCTTGGGGCACCCATGGGATCCCTTCGGGAATCAGTTGGGATCCTTAGGATTCCACGCCGCCCATCCTTAGAACGCGCCAACTTCGATTCGCAACTTCCCCCCGCGATAATCAAGTTCGGCCGTGCCGCCCCGCTTCCCCGACCAAGTCTGCATTGGCCGGGGATGATCAACTCTCGCGTGGAAAAGGGGGGTAGTGATGATCAGGGGGGGCCAGTTACCAACCGCTCGCTGTCGCAGGTGATCCAGGGCGAGCCTCTGCGCCGACGTCGGCCTCGAGGATGGGCGGGGGGGCCCGCTGCCTGGCGCCCTGTGCAGGTCGTTCAGGGTGCCAACCGGCTCGTCGGTAGCGGAGTCCACGGCGACCTGCCGCCGCGCCGGACGACGCGTCGCGCGGCGTGCGCTGGGGGGCGGGCGCCGCTGGCGCCGCGAGCGAACGCGGCCCTGCGATGCCCGCCGGGCCTGGACTCGAGACCTGGCGGGCGCCCGTCAAGCGCCGTTGCCACGGGCGCGGGGGCCCCCCCGCGCCTGCCGAGTTCGCCTTTATAGCGTTTCTCTCGGCCTCGCGCGCCACGTGGTCCACCAGGCCGGCCGACCCAACCGCGTCTCCGTCGTCGCGGGGCTGCCCCATGTGCAACGCGCCCTCCTCGAGGAGCCCAGCTCGTCCGCGACCCTCGCCTGCTTCCTCCTCATCGCCGTCGTTGTTGCCGCCCTTCTCCGCGCCGCCATCGCGCCATTGGCCAAGCGGCTAGCAGGGCAAGGCGTGCTCGACGAGCTGGCCTCCGCCCGCGATGATCTCAGAGCCTGCGCGGTTGGCGATCTCGAGGGCGCCGGAGTGCGCGGCCGCCTCCAGCGCGTGCGAGCGTTCGTGCAGACCCCCAGGCCCCAGTCGCCTCGCTGGACACGGCTGACCTGCCGCCGCCAAGCCTGCGGGGCACCGGGCCCTCTGCCATGGCGATTGATGAACCTCTGGGCCCCTTCCTCAGTCCGCACTTTAGATGGCCCAGCCCAAGAATGGGCTGACGACGTCCAGCTCAACGACCTGCCTGTCAGATCCACGCGGGCGCCGATCTCCTCCCTCGACTCCGATCGGCGCGTTCCCGGCGTCGGCCCCGCCCTCGCTACGCCTGGCGCCATCCTGCGCACGAGACAGCATCCTCCTCGCCAGCGGCGCCGCCGGCCCGCATGGGCACCGGGCGCCGCTGTGGCTCGCGGGCGCCGCGGCGGCCGTCCCAGCGCCAGCGGCCGCAGGCGCTCCCGCGCGCGCGGGTTCGCCCCCCCCCCCCCCCCCCCCTCCCCCCCCGCGGGCCGCTGGCCATCGTCGCCCCGGGGAAGCGAGGAGCGGCGATGGAGCCTCCCGCGGCCTCGGCCTCCAGCGGCAGCAGTGCGCCGCCAGCGGGCTCCGCGCCAAGTCCTCCCCTCCGACGGTCGCGCAGCACGAACGTCTTCAAGGCCGCGCGCCGCGCCAGCTGCTGGAGCTCCTAGAGCTCGACCGGCATCGGCTCGCGATGGACGTGCCACGAGTCCCTCGGCACTCCCGGCGGTAGCGGTCCGCGCGGGTCACTCCAGCGCTCCGCCGCCACGTTGGGGCCCCTCCCCCTGTGCACGTCGTCGCGCGCGTCGCCGTCGGGGATGCTCGTCACCACCTCAATCGCTGCCGCTACAGTACCCGCCAAGACTCCCAGCACTTGTAGCTGATGAAAGAGAGCGGGCCCCACTCACTGGAGCCGGCTCGCGCGCCCGCGCCATCTCGAAGAGTGGGGCGTGGACGACGAGCTTGATCCAACAGCAGGCGCCAGCAGGTTCTCGCGCAGCGCAGCCCAACAGCACCAGGAGGGCGTGCACGACCATCCCAACGGCCCCGCCGAGCTGTTCCCGCGCCCGGCGCGCCGCCCAGCCGAAGGTGCTCCAGCCGCCTGGGGCGCTCGGCGGCGCCGAAGTTGAGGCGGGCGCCTCTGCAGGGGCGGGCGCCGCTTCCTATGCGGACGGCGCCAAGCAGCCGGGGCCTCCGACGGCGCCAAGCAGCCCGACGGCGCGCAGTGCACCGTAGAGGCCGCGGAGCACCGGAGGGAGGGGCACGTTGGAGCCTCTGCGCAGCGGAGGTCGGGGCAGCGCGGACACGGCGAGACTTCCGCTCGCCAAGCGCGGTCGACTCCAGCGTGGACCGCCCAAGCTGCCAGCCGGGCTATTGCGGCCGAGACTCTGGGGTTCGGTTGCATGATGAGCTTGAACCAGGAAGGGTACTGATGGCCCTCTACTGCACTGCTAATAGCAAATCTGCACAGTAAAGATCGGTTTAGGACGAGCAGAAGGAGGAGGAGGAGGAGGAGGAGGAGGAGGAGGAGGAGGAGGAGGAGGAGGAGGAGGAGGAGGAGGAGGAGGAGGGAGTAGGAGTAGGAGTAGGAGTAGGAGTCAAGCTAGCCAGCTCGAGCGAGTCAAGCATGGCATGCCCAGTCCCACCCGCCCTCCCACAACATAAGAAGCAAAGCTGGCACAACTGGGGGCCGAAGTCACACCGGCCAGCCGGTTTGGTACAGCTGATGCGGCCGCGATGGCGGTTGCCGACGGGAACTGGCGAGCGCGTGTTGAATGCCGCGCACGCATTGCCAGACGAGTCGAGAATGGCCCGGTACACCGCAGGAAGCCAGAGGTGGCCGTGTCGAGAACGGCCCGGTAAGCCGGGTCCCATTCCTGCCATGCATTTTGCGACGTGGACGACAGGACGTCCATGCGACGGTGCCAATGACGGCGACGACTCTAGAAGGATTTGAGCATGCGCTCGCGGCGACGCGCGCGCATGTCGCCCACGTGGTATTTTTTGCACAGGATTCGCGGCCTGGGTGCATGACAGAGCATCGCGAGTTCACCGCGCGATGACGTGAAATCGCTGGATTTGACAGAATTCTTAAGATTCCTATGGTTTTCCTATGATTTCAGCAAGAGAGCCCGGGCGGGAAATTTGTACAATTTTTGTGAAAAAGCATTGGGTTTTTGATGTTTTTATGTTGAAATGCTTGCAAACACACGGTGTTCGGTAGGATTCTGACATGAACGCGCGCGTGTGCTCTTTGTGGTATTTTTTGCAATGGATTATCGCCGTGGACGACAGGACGTCCATGTCGAGAGGAAAAAAAAGAAAAATGTTGATTTTGTATTGTTTTTTACAGGTTAGGATGGGACCACCCGGATGCGGCCCCTATCTGCCGGCCTGAGGGGGGAGTAGGAGTATATTCTAATAAGGAATAATAGGAGTAGGAGTAGGAGTAAGGTAGGAGAGGAGGAGGAGGAGGAGGAGGAGAGGAGAGGAGGAGGAGGAGGAGGAGGGAGGAGGAGGAGGAGGAGAGGAGGAGGAGGGGAGAAGAGGAGGAGGAGGCGGAGGCGGAGGGAGGAGGAGGAGGAGGAGGAGGAGGAGGAGGAGGAGGAGGAGGAGGAGGAGGAGGACAAGGGCGAGGACGAGGACGAAAAAAGAAAGGGGGGAGGAAAGAGGCGCCTCTGTGGATCTCTCGACGAGGTGCCCGGGGGCTCGTAAATCTCCACAGGCCCCCATGACCCCACGCGGACCACTGAACGGAAGGCCGCCCAAATGGGGCCAGAACATGCTGGGGTCGTAAGATCGCAACGAATCTGCGACGCATCGCCGACGACGGCAGATACTCGTGCTCTGGATCGAGCATGCTGCGCGATCTCTCCGACCAGATCTACTGCGACCCTATTCGGGCGACGAAAGGAAAGGGGTCTCACGCACGGAGACACGGCGGCCTTATCCTGCGGCTTGCGCGGGCCGCCAGAGCGGCATGCGGAACAGAAGGTGCTCACGCACGACCTCACGCGGGTAACTCTCGCGCGAACGTCGGAGTCCGCGTAAGCGAACGCAGTTTTCACGCAGCCCATTCGGGCGGCCTGGAACCTCTCACGCCCCTTCGACCCCCGCATGCCCAGGCCGCCGCGCCGCCTCCTGAGCTGAGCCGACGTCCTCCGGCATCGGGATGGTGACGCGCACCTCCTCGGCCCCGTCCGCGGCCAGGAGCTCCACGCCGCAGCCGCGGGACTCCGCGGACGGCGTCGGCTCCGCCTCCCGCTCGCGGAGGGCTCCCCATCCGGGCTCGCGGCCAAAGGCCTGCCGGGCAAGCTTCGAAGAGCCGTGGTCTACCGACTGCGCGGGTCGCGCCCCGCCCCTGCGCGGCGCGCGGTGCTTTTCCCGCCCACGGGGCCGCCCGGGACAGAGGCGCTGCTGCGGCCCAGACCGAGGCGGATGACGGGCGATTATCTTTGCGCCCCTGCGTGGCCCCAGGAACTGGGGGGAGGAGGAGGAGGAGGAGGAGGAGGAGGAGGAGGAGGAGAGGAGGAGGAGGAGGAAGGAGGAGGAGGAGGAGGAGGAGGAGGAGGAGGAGGAGGAGGGGGCTGCTCTCTCAGGACTTCTGGGGGCACGCCCCCGAGACAGAAGCTTTTGCACAGAGCCCGGGCGGGCGCGCCCGCCCGTGGTGCCCACGGGCTCCCTCATATAGGGGCGGCCGTGGCGCCTCTGTCCCGCCTCGGCAGGGCCAGGCCAGGCGCTCACACCCCGACGCCCTGAGCTGCCTGGTGGCTGCCCTGCTCCAGAAACCTCCTCGCCCTGGAGGGAAGAAAAAGGGAGGACCACCCTTCTCCGACCTTGCCTTGCGCAGACGCCTGACGTTGGACCTGTCCTGTCTGCAAGGGCGCAAGAGGGGATGTGAAACTACCCTTCGGACGGTATGGGGATATTTGTGTTGGCGAGACAAAGATGCGGAATCCTCATTTGCCTCTTCCACTTGCTGCTGGATGCCCGCCCCTCCTAGATGCCAGGCGACTTGTGGCAGCGGTTTCGAAGACGCTTGTACGGCTTTTCTTCCCTCGTCGGCGCAACACAAGGATGTTCCCCAGAGGGGAAATGAAACAACAAACGAGAAAGACGAAGAGGAGGAGACAAGGGCGGCGCCTGCATGGTCCAGAGACGCCCGTCTTAACGTTTTCTACGACGCTTTTGACCGACCCATCTAGAGTGCGCTGCGACCAGAACTTCCAAGCGAATCTGGCAGCGGCGGCGAGGACTGCCCAGGAGGCCCCCAAAGACGAAATGTGTTGACCTCCCGTCCGTCCCTGAGATCCGAAGCCGTGAACAGCTACACCACCGTGGCGGGAACCCATCTTTCTGCGGCATCTCTGGAGCCGGATAGATCTGCGAGAGCCCCGTCCCAGTCCCAGGCAATACCAAATGGGGTCGCTCACCAAGGGGGTCGTTCAGTCCCCCAGGGAAACAGACTTCCCTGGACCCCTCGAAGGCCCCCAGGACTCCCGAACACGCCCCCAAACAGCCCAAACCTCCTCGATATACCGTGGCGGGAACCCCCAGTCCCAATCTTTCTGCGGCAGTTCTGGAGCCGGATAGATCTGCGAGAGCCCCGTCCCAGTCCCAGGCAATGCCAAGTGGGGTCACCCACCAAGGGGGTCGTCCTACCCCCCAGTAAACGGCCTTCCCTGGACCTCATCAAAAGGCCCCCAGGACTCCCAAACACGCCCCCAGACAACCTAAACCCCCTTCGATCCTCGATCCTCCCTTCTTCTCCATGTTGTCTTTCAAAAAATTATATGCCCCTCTCGATTTGTGCGTGTCATCTTTGCGCAGGGGCCATGCTAATCTTCCCTGTTTCGTTCCAATTTTAACGGATGGTCCCCGAAGGGAATCCCTCCCTTCTTCTCCATCTTTGATTTCCCAGAGGAGGTGGTGCTCCCTGCTGGTGACGCCCTTGGCACTGCCCGACAGTCGTCATCGCCCTGCTCCTGCGGGCAGCGGAGGGGAGCAGGTGGGCTGTCAAGGCCCCGAAAGCGAGGATCCTCGCCAACGACGACAGAGGTGCAACCATGAACAACTCTGGCCGTGTGTCGAAATGCTCTCCGATCTTCGCGATTGTTTTTTTCCCGTAAGTCTTGCAAAGTCCTGGTTGGCAGTCATCGTGCACCCGTCAGGAAGGCCGAAGCAGGAACGACAGGGCTTTCCTGGCCACGGCGAGCCTCGGCCACGAATAGGCCTCCCGACCCAAATCTGACGACCTGTCAGAGAACAGCCCTCCTGAGCCCGAAGTGGCCCTCCTTTCACTGGGGGGGCGTCAGGGGAGCGTTGGGGGTGGACAGGCTCGGGGGGGGGGAGGGGGGGGAACCTCGAGCTCGAATCGGCGGCACATCGCTTACAGGCTGGCGATAGAGCCCCGATAACAGAGAACCCCCACGTTCCTGGTCGGTGTGGGCTGTCGGCCCCTGTTGGCGATCCTTGGGCCAGTGGGGGTCGATGCGCCCCCCCTGAGCCCATCCTCCCTGGACGTTGCCCATGAGGTCTTTTCCTGGTGGATATTGCCAAGTCCTGGCTTACAGTGTCCTGATGGGCCTGTAAGCACCACCACCACCACCACCATAAGTTGGAGGGGAGGGGGGGGTCCTCCTCCTCCCTCCTCCCTCCTCCCTCCTCCTCCTCCCCCTTCTCCTCCTCCTCCTCCCTCCTCCTCCTCCTCTCCTCCTCCTCCTCCTCCTCTTCTCCTCCTCCTCCTCTTCCTCCTCTTCCTCCTCTTCCTCCTCCCCCTCCTCCCCACTCTCCTCCTCCTCCTCCTCATCCCCCTCCTCCCTCCTCCTCCTCCTCCTCCTCCTCCTCCTCCTCCTCCTCCTCCTCCTCCTCCTCCTCCCCCATCTCCTCCTCCCCCTCCTCCCACATCTCCTCCTCCTCCTCCTCCTCCTCCTCCTCCTCCTCCTCCTCCTCCTCCTCCTCCTCCTCCTCCTCCTCCCCCTTCCCCCCTCCAACCCGTGGTGGCGGTGGTGGAGAACACCCCCATCCTGCCCTGGCCCCTCGAGGCCCCGGGGCGGGCGCGCGGCGCCGCGGGGCACGCGGGCGGCGCAGGGTACATGCGGGGCCCGCCTGGGCCGGCGCGGCCGCCACCGCCGGCGAGGGCGAGCCAGCAGGCGAGGCCGCGCCTCGGGGGGTGCCCCTGCCGCGCCGACGTCGCCGCCGCGGTCGTCGGGCGCCGGTCGTCGGTCGTCGGTAGGCTGCCGTCGTCGTCGTCGTCGTCGTCGTCGTCGTCGTCGTCGTCGTCGTCATCGTCGGTCGTCGTCATCGTCGGTCGTCGGTCGTCGGTCGTCGGTAATCGGCCGTCGTCGTCGTTCTCGTCGTCTTCGTCGGTCGTCGGTACAATCGGACGGCGTCGTCGTCGTTGCCACCGCCGTCGACGTCGGGCGTCGGTCGTCGGTCAGCTGCCGCCGCTGTCGTCGTCGACGTCGCCGACGTTGCTGTTATCGTCGTCGTCATCGTCGTCGTCGTCGCCGATGTCGCCGATGTCGTCGATGTCGTCAATGTGATCGTCGTCGTCGTCGTCGTCGTCGTCGTCGTCGTCGTCGTCGTCAACGATGTCGTCATCGCAGCCACTGGAGCCGTGGTCGTCGAGGTTGGCCGTCGCCGTCGACGTCGCCGACGTCGGTCGTCGCCGCCGCCGCCGACGTCGTCGACGACAGCAGGGTCGTCGAACCCAGACCTCCGACGTCGCGCGTTGTTCCATCCTGGCAGCTCTCAGTGGTTTCCCCAGCGAGAAATCATCATTGACACCGCAGGTCCAGGGGCAACCCGCCAATGGGCGGAACCTGCCCAGGGGTGCGCTCTGTCCAGGGGCGCGCTCCGCCTCGAGGCGAAGCTGGCCGCGGCGACGAGGAGCTCCCATAAAGGTCCCCAAGGAGGAGGAGCGCCGTCCAAAAAAACGATCCCGATGTCTCCGAGAGGGGGCCGCGCCTGGCGGTGCGGAGGGCGCGGCGGGCGCCGCCGCGGGCGCCGCGGGCGCCGCGGCGGGCGGGGCGGCCGCGCCCGGCGGCGCGACGGGCGCCGCGGGGGGGTCCCCGCTGGCGGCCGCAGGGCGCGGGGCGCCGCCGTCGCGGCCGCTCCCCGCGCCGGAGACGTGCACCTGGCCGCGGGGGCGGCGCGTCGCCGCCCCCCAAGGCCTGCAGCGGCTCGAAGCTGTCGAGCCCGAGGCCTCGCCGCGCTCGCGGCCTCCCGGGGCCGCTTCGGGGCCCCAGGGGCCGCCACCGGCGACTCGGGGTGAGACGCCAGAGCCCATGGAAGGGGTCAAGAGGTTACCGGGGCCCAGGGGCTCGAAAAGCTCGAGTCGTCCTCGTCGTCGTCCTCGTCGTCGTCGTCGTCGTCGTCGTCGTCGTCGTCGTCGTCGTCGTCGTCGCCGTCGCCGTCGCCGTCGCCGTCGCCGTCGCCGTCGCCGCGGCCGCCGCTGGCACCGTCGTCGCCGCCGCCGCTGTCGTCATCACTGGGGAAAGTGAGCGGCGGGGGCATCCCGAATCAATCTGATCAAGACGGCGGTTTCTTCTTTGTCCGAAACTGCCCCCCTTGTTCCTTCGGGTCTCCACGGATCGCTTGCCCTCCGTCGGCCTCCGTCATGCGATGTGTCCGCCAAGAGTCGAAAGACCCTGCCGCCGCCGCTGCTGCCGTCGCCTCGCCTCACCTCGCCTCGCCTCGCCTCGCCTCACCTCGTCGTCGTCGTCGTCCCGCCGTAGCGCAATCCGCGACGGCAGCGAATGCAGATGACATAATGGGCCGCAGTGGCAGTGAACAGGGTAGGATGTGCGCGACATGCGCTGATCAACGTTACCGAGAAGCACAAACATGATGACGATGACGATGGCGATGGCGATGACGACGACGATGATGAGGTATGGTGAAGTTCAAGATGAAGATGCGAATGATAATGCTGATGATGCTGATGATGATCATGACAATGATGCTGATTATGATGATGATGGTGATGATGATGATCAGGAGGTTGATGACGATGCTGATGCTGATGCTGATGCTGATACTTTTGATGTTGATGATGTTGCCGATGATGTCGATGATTTTGAAGGAAGAGGAGGAACTGACAGCGCGGCCGAAGCAAGTAAGAGCAGGCTTCGTATCGATACAACCTTCTGATGGCCCCTCCGATGAGAAAGCTGGCGTCCCTCTACAGCCGCCATGCCCTTGCGACGGTTCTGTGCTGACAGGCGAGCCCAGGCTGCCTCCCCAGAGGTCCATAACTGGCAGTGAGTGCCGGGGACAGGGCCCCTCCCGCGCACAACTTGGTGGAACGCCCCAACCCTGGAGTGGTCCCACTGGAATTTGGACGCCCGAAATGGGTACGGAAAGAATGGGTACAATACCCAACAACACATGTTGTCCCAAACCAACAGCGGCCGCTGTTGGGCAAGCGGCCTTCTGTCTCAAATGGAGACAGGCCGCGGCGGCGCGGACAGCGAGTCCTGTTCAAAATGAACAGGAACTGCTGTTGGTCACCGTACCCGTTCTTTTCGTACCCATTCCGTTCGTGCCGATGGAAGGTCCCGAGGCGATCCCTCGATGTCGAGTGGGAGGAGAATGCCCGCTTCCACACGACGTCTCCAGCGGAGGATCCGGAGCGCCAGCTGGCACGCGGCCGCCACGTATCTCGAACGTGTCGTGGTTGTCGGACCCACCAGAGGCCCTCCTCCTACTCTTAAGTCGGGCGTGTCCCCCTACAGGGGGATTTTGGACGACAAATGAAACATACGCCAAACATGTTCAAACGATGCTCCAAAATACTCAAAAAATAGTCCCCAGACTATTTTTCTACTATTTTTGAATATTCCCCCTGTAGAGGGACAGGCCCGACTTAATCCTACTCCTCATCCTGCTACTTCTCCTCCTCCTCCTCCTCCTCCTGTCTCTCTTTCTCTTCCTGATCCCCCTCGGCCTAGTAACGACCCTGCAGCCCGAGCTTGCATGTGTTTGCAGCAGGTGGCTCTTGAGGAGGTCAGGGCTGACATCCTCGTCGGCCCTGTGTCATTCTCTAAGAATATTAAACCTCGGTCTACTGTCATTCGATGATGAACCTCAATTCACTATATCGTGGCGGAGGTGTTGGTCCCCCCCTCAGCTCTATTACATTATTTCCAGAATGAAGCCCTACGTTCATAATCTCATCCTGATAAGCCGTGGTTAATGCTCTCCTTGGGAGGCACCTGGGTTGGGGGAAAGAATAACAAGTAAACCAATCCGACACCCCGCTCGATTATCATCTTTCGGGAACAGTGCGCTCCAATTTATAATGTCCAGGGAATAATCAACCAGGGTGAATATTCGAACATACTAAATCTCATCCTGGTGAGGGGAGGCTGGGGGTAAAGACTCATTACTCTCATTCCAACAGAGTAGACCCCAATTCATGGTTTTGGGGTTCCGAAGCAAGGTGCCCCAACACATTATAAACCCAGGTTGGTAATGTTACGGGGGGGACATTATGGACCCCAATCAGTATTCAATGCAAATTAGAACCCCAGGGATATAATGCTCCAGGGGAAACACTATGAACCCCAGATGTTATTCCTAGACATTATAGACCCAAGCTCATATCTACTTAAGATCTATCCTGCTCTTGAGGGCGCGTGTGCCGACTTCTGCGCCTGTCGCACCTGCGCAGACACGACCAACACCCTGCTCTCCTAAGAACGAGCTGCCCCCCTAGCAATCGCCAGAAAACTGTTTGGGTTAGGGTCTGGGCTCCGTGGCCAGATCGAGCTGCCAACATCGCCAAGCGCTGAGCGAGCTCCGACCCGACTTGCGCGCGCCCTGTGTGCCCAGATAGACAACGAAACCCTCGCAGCTTTGCAGCTTTTGGGGGGGGGGGGCGCGTCGATCCAGCGAAATCATCGCAATGCGCACGGAGATCCGCTATCTGGCAAGCTCCTGACAGCGGTAGCGGGTACCCAGCGGCGCTCTCAGAGCGCTCGCGGCGACCTGACCCGCGACCAACTCTCATCGCGCCCTTCGGGAGGGGGGCACCTTCAGCCCTCGCCGCAGCGCGCCCAACCCGTCTGCCAGCATGCGCTCGCCCAGCGGGCCGATGGCATTCCCGTCCAGCCACAGGTCCTGCCGCCGCGCTGGCTGGGTGGGCGACCCTTGCATCGAATGCTGGAGTCGAACTGGCTCGACCCGGACATCGAATTGCATCGACTGGGATCTCGGCCGCAACATCGAATCGGGAGCGGCCAAGAGGGCGGTGTCCAAGAGGGGGGGTGCAAATCATGACCGGCGGCATGTGCGCGGCCCAGCAGGGGGGCCAGGGACGTAATGAAACAAGACGGGGCGCCCTGAGATCTGGGGAGATATCATGGCCCCCGCCGTGATATCCACCCCCCCTAGTCATCACCCTCCTCTTTTCCGCCCCCGAAATTGGCTCGACTGGGATCTCGGCCGCGACATCGAAACGGCACGCACCGTCGGGGCCGGGCCCCATCGCATTGGAGACCGGCGGGACAGACCGGTGGAGTGGGAAAATACGCCCTGGCCAGGTGCCGACCTGGCAAAACCGACGAGTGGGGAGCAGGGAGGCCACGCGCCAGCTCAGAGGAGAGGGGAGGAGGAGGAGGAGGAGGAGGATGAGGAGGAGGAGAAGGAGGAGGAGGAGGAGGAGGAGGAGGAGGAAGACGAGGAGGAGGAGGAGGAGGAGGAGGAGGAGGAGGAGGAGGAGGAGGGAGGGGGGGGAAGGAGGAGGGGGGGGAGGAGGAGGAGGAGGAGGAGGAGGAGGAGGAGGAGGAGGAGTCCAAGCCAGCTCGAGACGGGCGCGCAGAGAGCCGCACAGCCGCCGCGCGGCTGCGACTGCGCGACAGAAGCGACGACGACGAGGATGGCGGCGGCGGCGTCGTCGTCGGCGTCGGCGTCGTCATGTCGTCGTCGTCGTCGTCGTCGGCGTCGTCGTCGTCGTCGTCGTTGTCGTCGTCGTCGTCGGCGTCGGCGGCGGCGGCGGCGGCGAGAGCAGTGACGGCGGCGGCGGCCGCCACAGGTGCCCCCCCCCTTGGCTCCCGCCCCGCGAGTCCTGCAGCCGCGGGCACGCGCCTCTGGGGACGGGCGCTCGAGAGATGGTGCCAGCGGGGTGCGGAAAGGGAGAGGGCACCCTCCGAGGCCGCACTGGGCCCTCGCATACGGAGAGGGCACTGGACGAAGAACCTCCTTCTGCTCCTCCTCCTCCTCCTACTCCCCCTCCTCCTCCTCCCCCTCCTCGTTCTTCTTCTCCTCCTCCTCCTCCCCCCTCCTCCCCCTCCTCCTCCTTCGCCTCCTCCTCCTTCTCCTCCTCCCCCTCCTCGTTCTCCTCCTCCTCCTCCTCCTCCCACTTCCCCTCCCTCCGCCTCCTCCTTCTTCTTCTCCTCTTCTTCCTCCTCTTCCCTCCTCCTCCTCCTCCTCTTCCTCCTCTTCCGTCTCCTCCTCCTCCTCCTCCTTGGATGAGGTAACCGGGGTCTGAAAGCTGGTGGAACAACCATGAAAGCTTGACCGTGGATAAAGCAGTCACCCTCGTCAGCTAAGGAACCCTTCAGGGGCTGAAACCTCCTGGGACCATTCCTTCAAGAACGCCCCCACAGTAGTGTATACACCCTCCTGGCCGAGGCCAGGAGAGTCTTTACACCGTCCTATGGCCTAGGATGTCCCTGGCCATGCATGGTAATGTGTAGATGACTTTCGCGGAAAGGGCGCAGCAATCCGACGTCTTTGGAAAGATCGGAGGGGAATCTCGTTTACAAATTTCGGCCTGTTGGGGCAGTGTCTGGGCTCCGAAATCGTGCTTTTCTTAATCTGCGTGTTTTTCTGCCTCTGGAAGCCCCGTGACAATCGGAAAGCGATCCAGGACGAGAAAACCAGCCCCAGGGAAGGGGGAGGATGGCGCCCAAGACTTCAACAAAAACACGTTGTCGGAGGTCAGGGGAGGGCACGGATTATGTCGGGTTTCACTGGTTGGTCGAATCTCTCCACGATCACGCACTGCTCTGTCTTCTCGATCGTCTGCGCTTGCATGCCCTCATGAGCGCCTGCGTGTCACACCGCGCTCGGCGCGGCGAACTTTGACTCCGGGTATTCGGTAGCAAGCAGGGCGATGCTGTGCAACACCCTCCATGCGTACAGTCAAAACGTATATTAAGGACGCGTGGTAAGGACGCAAGACCCTTGGAGGCTGAAGTTGGGATTTGTTTGGGCGGTGGCGACCAGTGAAAACGGCAAAGGACGGGCCACAGAGGCAAGGACGCAAGGGTATCCTAGATGAAGGCGCGCGTCCTTACTAGGCGCGCTGACTGTAGTCAACATCAACCTGGTCTTCCCCCGGCCACTGGCTTGAGATGGCACGTGGCCGTCCCTGCACCAAGAGGGTCGAAGCCTCCTCCGAGATAGCAGAGGTCACCGAGGCGGCAGAGCTACCAGAACGCTCTGACATCAGCTTGGGAACTCATCTGCTCTTGACAATCTCAACTGCACGTGGTGGCGACTCGCCTCAGCAAGCAACTAGTCAGCATGTATAGCAACATTGTGCTGAAGGTCAATGGCCTGCGTACGCAGATGCACCATACGCTTATGTGGATAGTGGGCTTCCCTGATCCCACCATCCTCCACTTGCTTAGATCGCGTATGGCAGACAATCCCGAAACAACTCTAACGACAGCGGCCATCCCAGCGCGGACCCGTTCGCGCTAACATGGAAGACACCTACAATGACTGCCGCCTTGACACGCTGTGAGACCCTTTGACATGGGCAGTCAACATCATCGTTTTCCCTCTCTCTACCCTCCACCGCCCCCCCTCCGCCCTATCCCCTTCCCTCTCTCCCCTGCCCTTCCCCCCCACCCTGCTCTCCACGCTACCGTCGTTGTGCTGCCCGGAGGAATTCTGAGCTTCTGTGAGCACGGCGTGCCGCGGCCACGAATAGGTTCCTCGACGCGGATCGAAGGAACGGCCCGAAGACCAGAGACCCTCCTGAGCCCGAACGGTCCTTCTTTCAGCGCCTTGGCTGTATCCCCGCCCCCGCCACTTCCAGGGCCACTTCTTCGCTTCCGGGGCCTCGCGCAAGGGCGGTCACCAGCTTCTGCACCCCCTCGTCCGCGATGGAATTGTGGGACAAGTCCTGCGGCCACCCCATTCGCCGCCTCCCTCCTCCCTTCTCCTCTCCTCCTCCGCCTCTTCCTCCTTCTCCTCTCTCCTCCTCTCCGGCAAAACATGGGCACACCGTGGACCAGGGGGAAACAGGGGGGGGGGGAGCAACACCGCGAGGAGCGCAAACAGGATCAGCAGGAGCACGAGGCGGTGGACGAGAAAGAGGAGCACACTCCCTCGGGGTGGTGCCTGCTGATGTTGCAGGGGCGAGGGGAAAAGAGGAGGCTGAAGAATATCTGGATTCTTCTTCTGCGGTGGCGTCTCCGCCGCCGCTGCTGCTGCTGCGACTGCTGCACATCGGCGCAGTGGCAAGGTCTCGGCCGCAGGGGTGGGGCGGCGTAGCAGGAGGCGCAGGAGCAGGCAGACGAGCAGGAGCATGATGAACCCAAGGAGGAGAAGCAGCGCCATCGTGAGGAGAACGAGGACCTGGACCAGACGGAGAAGGATGATGCTGAGCGAGATCATGATCATGCCAGTCACCACGAGGAGAGGACGACGGAGTGGTGCCCCGGAGGGATAGAGAGATCCGCAGCACGGGTTCCTCGCTTTGCAGATGGCCTTCCCCAGTAATGCTGGCTAGAAGGCTCTCGGAGTTCTTACCCGAATCATGAACAATAGCAGTATGAACGCCATGGGAAGAAGCACGAGCAGGAGAGAAGCGTTTACTGCTCCTCCCTTTCCCTTGCACGCGCCACGCCAGCCCGCTCTATCCTCAAACCAGTCGTCGCCACCAGGCCACTAGAATGCTCTTGGAAAACAGTGCGGGATGGTGAGAAAGTGGAGGAGTAGCAACAGAGGGATGGCGCGGGGACGCGGATAATGTTCAGAAGGCTGAGGAGGAACATGGAACACCGAAGCAGGAGCACAATCTGGAGTAGACGAGGGAGGGGCAAATGCACAAAGGAGGAAATGAGCAGGAGTTTGAAGAGCAGCGTGGGGCGTTCACATCTGACCTTCCTCCTCAGCCCTCCTGCTGCCATCCGTCCGTCATCTATCCCCCTCTTCCATTCTCCCTCCTCCTTTTTGCCTCCGCCCTTCTCCTACACCTTCTCCTGCTCCTCCTGCTCCCCCTGGGAGGCCTCGGGAGGCCCGAACAAGGCCAAACGCCCCCAAACAGTCCGATCCCCTATCCTCGAATCCCCGTCGCCGGCTCCCGGTGCTCGGCTCGGAGGAAGGCCGATCGAGCAGAGCACGGCTGTCCCGAATACCTCAGTCTCTAAGGACCCCACAAAGGACGTACGCGCCCAACCACGCACATGAACACGGCCCCCCAGGCCCGCGAGGCAAGCCCCGGGTCACGAACGCTCGCGCAGCGCATACCCTCGAAGCCGAGGGACATTCATGTACAAGTACTTATGTGCATCAGTCCTGATCCTCCACCTTCGCCACTCGCCATGTGAGTCACCCGAGACGGCCAAGTCATGCATGCCTGAAGCAGGGGGAGTCTGGGGGCATCTCCCCCCCACTGCAGCCCCTGTGGCAGCGCCCCACCCCGATCGGGCAACGGCTTCTTATCACTCCTGAGCCTCCTTCTCCTCCTCCCCCTTCTCCTCGTCGTCGCCATCCTCGATCATCTCGCCCGACTGCGAATGGCGGCGAGCCGAGACGGGCTGCCCCCCCCGTCCAGGGCGGTCAGCTGCCCGCCGTTCTGGCGCACGCCCTCGCCTCAGCAAGCCGCGCGTCCGAGGGATCAAGGCTCGAGGATCGAGGCTCGGTGAGGAGGGGGAGGAGGAGGAGGAGGAGGAGGAGGAGGAGGAGGAGGAGGAGGAGGAGGAGGAGGAGGAGGAGAGGGAGGAGGAGGTTGCCCCGCTGGTTACTTGAATGGCTGTGTCGACATATCAATAATCAGATCAGCAAATCGATCAGTAAGATAAGTAAAGAGGTCGCGGTACTGATCGGAACATGATGATTTGACAATGCTGTAGATGGGTAGGTTGGGATGTCTGTATGGAAGCGATACGCATATGTATTCGCCGGCCCAACGGGCCAGAGGCGTGCTAAGATCTCCGGTAACTGCTAAATAATACTTCTACTTCGCGCGCGCGGGGCGGCCCCTGGGGGTCCCCGGACGAAAAGTACCCCGGGCGATCCTCGGCTGATCCCCGGGCGAAGCCACCAGAGCGCTCCATGAGCGCACCCACAGGGCTCCGAGACGTCCCCGAGAGCCCCAAGCAAGGCCAAGAGGCCCCAAGAGGCCCCCAAGATGGTACACGAGGGGTCCGACATGCCACAAGATCGCTCCAAGACGCCCTAGATAGCCCCCAGACGCTCCAAGAGGCCTCCAAGAGCACTCCCAAGAGGCAAAATTCATTGTTTTTCCTTAGGTTTTTGAAACATTTTGGAGCTTCCACCTTTTCGGCTTCCCGACGCCCCAAGACGGCCCAAGAGGCCCCCAAGATCGCCCCAAGAGGGCCCAAGAGGCCCCCAAGAGGGCCCCAAGATGGCCCAAGAGGGCTCGAAGACGGCCCAAGAAGCCTCCAAGACGGTCCAAGAGGGCCCCAAGAACGCCCCCAAAGGGGCCCCAGAGAGGGAACACGAAACAACATTTCGAGCCCTCGGCCCTAAGAAGCCCCCACGAGGCCCCAAGAGGCCCCTAAGAGGCCCCAAGAGGCCCCCACGAGGCCCTCAGGAGGCCCCCAAGAGTCCCCCAAGCGGCCCCAGGAGGCCCCCCAAATGCCCCCCCGAGCACGCAAGCAAGTGCAAGCGATGCTACAATGTGCTCTCCTTTCGGTAGACTCCCAACGGGGCCCCTACAGACTTGCAACAAGCGTCAAGAACCTGCCCAAAAAGCACTGTCCAGGAGCGTTCACAAATGCCGCGAAGAAGCCCTCCTTACGCCGGAAAGCCCGGAAAGCCTGGTGGGGTGAGCTGTTCTTCTCACCACCGCGCCCTCTCACACAATGGCTTCCGCACGCCGCCCAGAGCGCGATGCCTCCCAGACTGAATGGGCCGGCGGAATGAGCGAAGCGATTAAATAACCAAAGATCAGTCGGAGGTTAGGGGGGGTGAGATCGCAGTGGAACGGAGACCCTCAACTGGGAAATCGTTTCGTTTCGTTCGTGTCGTGCGTGTGGGCGAGGCGAAGCTGCGTGGGCGCGCGAGAGGAATAAACCCGCCGTTGCTAAAGCGAAGTCAAGACAAATGATTCTCCCCCGCCCGCCCGCCCGTCCGGCGGTGGCTCGCGGTGTCCCGTGGTGTCCGCCGTTGCTAGGGCGAAATCAAGACACATGATTCTCCCCCGCCCGCCCGTCCGTCCGTTCGTCTGGCGGTGGCTCGCGGTGTCCCGCGGTGTCCCGTGGTGTCCCGTGGTGTCCCGTTGAGTGAGATCGATAGTGAGATCGACAAGTGTCCCGTGGTGTCCCGTGGTGTCCCGTGGCGTCCCGTTGAGTGCGATCGATAGTGAGATCGATTGAGTCAGATGCTGGTTCCCCCCCCCCTCTCTCCCCCCTCCCCCCTCTTCCCCACCGGAAAATCGGTTTCGGTTTCGGGTTCGTGCCGTGCGTGCGGGCGAAGCGAAGCTGCGTGGGCGGGCGAGAGGACTGAACCCTCTTCTGGCTAGGGCGCGGCGAATACAGAAGTCCGCCCCCACCCGCCGGCCGCGTGGCGGGCGGTGGCCGCGGGGTGTCCTGCCGTGGTGTCTTGTGGTGTCCCATGGTGTCCTGTGCTGTCCCGCGGTGTCCCGATTGGTGTCCCGATGGTGACCTGATGGTGTGTCGATGGTGTCCCCATATGGTGTCCCGGTGGTGTCCCGATTGGTGTCCCGATCGGTGTCCCGATGGTGCCCCGATGGTGTCCCGGTGGTGTCTGCATGGTGTCCCGGTGGTGCCCCCGTTGGTGCCCCTCGGGTGCCCCTCGGGGGAAACCGGGCTCAATGCCTCTCCTCCTCCAACTGGATTGCGGTGGCCGCGGGGGTGTCCCGCGGGTGTCCCGTGGCGCGGTGTCCCACGGTGTCCCGTGGTCTCCCGTGAGGTCGATCGTGATCGACAGTGAGATAGATAGTGAGATCGATTATGAGATCGATTGAGTCAAATGGATATTGAGATCGACAGTGGGATCGATATGGATGTCGATCGCGAAATCGTAATGGGATCAAGAGTGAGGTCGATGGTGAGATCAATAGGTAGATAGAGAGTGATATCGATGGTGAGATCGATCGTTCGGCCGATCGTGAATGAGATCGATGGTAAGATCGATGAAGAGGCTGATAGTAAAATCGATCGACCAATATTGGGATCGATGAGTAAAATGATCGCTACGTAGCGATATCGCTGGATAGTGAAATCGGGTGATAGTAAGATAGATAGTGAGATCGACAATGACACCGACAGGTCGATATGGAGGCCGATGTCAATTACTTATCCCAAAGACCCCCTCACGGTGCTATTTATTTGCCCCAAGGGCTCCCCACATAGTCATCAATCATGAGGTCGATGGGTAGATCCCAGGCTCGACGGATCGTGAGGTCGCTGTACGCACTGGCATCAAAAGCGGGGTGGATAGTGCGACCGATTGATAGTGAGAGTGCGTTACAGAGGTCGCCCGCCGCTGTTCGAAAATGTCTTCGGCCACCTGGCGCGCCACAGGGGTCGCGGGCAAACGAATGCCACCTCCAGCAATCAAGGTGGCATTGAATTCATTTGCCTGCGAAGGCGGCGGTGATTGTGAGTGCGCCATCGCGGGAATGTCGTGTCGTTGGCGTCTGCTTTGCTGCCACCGATTGGGCAAATTCTGCCAGCCGAGGTTCCGTGATTCACTGCTACTGCTGCGTGCTGCCCCTTTGGGATGCCCTGCTCATCACCAGCATCGTCGGCATCATGCGTCGTCGCCAACTCGTGAGCGCATCACCAGCATCGTCACCACCACAATCATCGCAATTGTCATCATTTGCCCCCCGCCACAACCTCCGTATCACCCGAAGCGTGGTCGTATAGGTAAGTAGGGCTAGACATGGAAATGCCTAGCATGCACACGCACACGTAGTATGATGTACAAATGGGTAAACCGTGTTTGGTGCCCGATGTGTCCACTCGTGGGTTGACTTGCGCGTCCAACGCACGCCACATATGATGCCATTCCCACAAGCTCCTTATCACCCGAAGGGTGGTCTAAGCGATACGTGATGCTAGTCGTATGCCTGTTGCCTCCCTTCTCCATCTGAATGACCTCCGCCGAACGCCCAAGTTCTTCGCCAGAGGCTGGCGATCGGTGGCTGCCCGTCACAATCCGCAGCCGCTGAGACCAGTGCAGATGGCGTCCAAGTCAGAGTCCCTGCGGGGGGGGGGGCTGCCGTGGCACAGCTGCCAGCCCACCCCCTCTGCCTCTGTGTAACATTGGGCGCCCCCGATGTTCCTACCTCTGCTTGCGCGTACGCTCTGCATGAACTGTGCGCGTCTCCGCGACCCCTGGGGGAGGTCAAGGGGGAGGAGAGTGGAGGAGGGGAGGTGGAGGGGGAGATCCAGGGAGCGGAAGTCTGGGTCATCGAGGAGAAGATTGGCAGAGAGAGAGGAGAGCGAGAACGAGAGAGAGAGGGAGAGTGAGAGAGAGAGAGAGAGAAAGACAACGACACACATACCGATGGTGAAGGAACCATCGGCCGTCCTCAGCTCCATGTCGTGTAGCCACAGGGCCTCGGGGTCTTCCGCGCATCTCGCGGCCACTTCCTTTTAGGGCGCGAGGGGGGCAAATCCCCCTCACCATCCGCATCCTTCCTCCCTCCCCTACCTCCTGCACCTCCTCCTCCCCCCTGCTCCCTGCTCCCTCGTCCTTCCTCCCTCCTCCCTGCTCCCTCCAACCTTCTCCCTCATTCGTCCTCCGTCCTCCATCCTCCATCCTCCGTCCTCCGTCGTCCGTCCTCCTTCCTCTCACTTCTACTCCCCCCTTGTCCTCAGTCCTCCTCCCTCCTCCATCGTCCCTCCTCCTGCCCCCCTCCCCTCCGCCTCCCCGTCCACCTCCACCTCCCCTGCTCCGTTCCTGTGCCCCCTCCTTCTCGTCGTCGTCGTCGTCGCCCTCCTCCTCCTCCTTCTCCCGTTCCCCCTCCCCCCTCCTGCCACTACTCTTCATTATCCCCATTCTTCTCTGCCTCATCCTCCTCGTCCCCTCTCCTCTTCATCTTCCATCACCTCCTTCCTCTTACACCTTCCCGTAACTTTATCTGTTCAAGGCTACCTTGTTATGTATGGCGTGCTGCATTCATGTGCGATTGCCCTATCCTGCCAGGGTGCGGTTGGTGTCCTGCCCTCCGCCTGTCCACATGCACTGTGCTGCCATGGACGTCATTGCGCCAACCGAGGCACGCGGGAACCACTCGCAAACTCCGCTACCAGGCTATCATCGGCCCCCTTTATGCACCCTGGAGGGCCAGTACCCAACCAGAAGAAACTTGTAGTATTCGTCCCTAGTCCCAAGCTCCGACCTGCAAAATCATGGTGTTCAGTGGAAATGCGTATACGGTATACTCCGAGTTGCTCAATCAGCGTGCGTGCGTGCGTGCGTGCGCGCGCGCGTGTGCGTGTGTGTATCTGCGTGCGTGCGTGCGTGCGTGCGTGCGTGTGTGTGTGTGTGTGGTGTGTGTATACGCGCGCGCGCGCGTGTGTGTGTGTGTGTGTGTGTGTGTGTGTGTGTGGGTGTGTGCGTGGGGTGGGCGGGTGGGGGTGGGCGGGGTAAGAGTTGGCTGTCCTTCGCGTGGCGTGGGTGGGTGGGGAGGATCGCGTTCGGGGGTGAATTCTGTACGCGGGGGGAGGGGTCAGGACGGTCCGTCGGGCGGAGTGGCATGGTGTGGGGTGGGGGTGGGCGGGTGGGGGGGGGGGTGCTTATTGAACAACGTGGTGTGACGTATATGGCCTACAAGCTTATCATTGCTCTTGCGCATGCCACCGCATGCCTCGAATTTCTAGCCTTGAGGGACTGCCACAAACGAGTTCCCATTCAGAGACCCCCCGATCTCTTCCATACATGGTGATTCCGAATGGACCTAGGCAGGATTCCGCGCCTCACTGTTCGAACTGCGGCAATGCCACTTTGTGGGTAAAGATCGTATGGTACGAAAGCCTTCCCTGTGAAGCAGGGTGGGGCTGTCAGAGCGTGTGGTACCTCGACTGGGGCAGTCTGCCAAGCGCAAGCATGTGCTACGACTCTGAGCGCTCCAAACAGAAGCCCTCCTTCCTCCCTCTGCTCTGCCCTCAACGCTGCTTTCCCCTCCCGTCCCCGTCTCCTCCCTCTTGCATTCTCCCCTCTCCCGCTTCCCTCTTCCCGTGTCCGTCTCTTTCCTCGGTCCTCCTTCTCTTCGATGTCGTCCCTCCCCTCCTGTTGTCACTGCTCGCCCAGAGGGGGGAGGGGAGAGGGCCGAGGCGCGGGAGGAGAACAAGCAGGCTAGTGCTATGTCGCCATATCGAACATCCCATCTCGCCGATTCATTTCCTCTGCTGTTTTTTCCTCTGTCCGCCGACGCGTGCCATAGCGGACCTGGGCAATGCACGTCATGCGCAATCGGAGAATTGAGACAACGCACGTTAGAGGAGGAGGAGGAGGAGGTGGCGAATGAGCAGAAGGATGAGCAGGAGGACGAGGAGGAGGATGAGGAGTGACAAATGAGAGGAGCGGGGCGACAAGGACAAACAATCACTCGGATGCACATTCGTGGCCCGCGCTGGGGCGAGAGCGCCTTTTCTGAACGATGGTAGCAAATGGCCGATCCTAACATGATGCCCACGCTGCAGCGGCAACACCGTTTTGACACATTTGCCGATATACAAATCAAATAACGAATCCTAAGTAAGACAATGCGCGGAGGGAGGCGGGCGTCTCCCGGCCATCTTCAAGGGAGCGCGGAGAGTGGTATTCATATTGGGTGATTGTCAAGAGGCGAGAGGGGGCAAGGGGGGGAGGCGGGTCGAAACAGGATCCATCCTTCGTTCCCTCCAGGTGAAATGTTCGAAGTCCTGGTCAGCAGTGCCCTGCTTCAGGGGCCTCCCGAGAAGTCAGGAGGGCGGGCGAGCTGGACGCAGCCTGCAGCCGCTCGGCCGGGCCCCCTTAGAAGAACATCAAAACAATACTCCGACGGTAGGGCCTGCACGAACATATATTTAGTTTGTCCCTCGCCCTTTTCTTCTTCGACTGGCGGAGGCCATCCTTCCGCCCTCTGCGCCCTCCTCCTCTTCCTCCTTTCTTTCTCCTTTTCATCCTTGTCCTCCTCCTGTACAGTCTCGTCCTGTTCGTTGCGTTTCTTATCCTCTTGCTCGTCCGCCTCCTCCTTCTCCTCCTCTTCTTCCTCGTCCTCCGCCTCGTCCTCCTCCCCCTCTCCCTTCCCCTCCTCCTCTTATCCTTCCTCCTCTTCGTCCTTTCCTTCCTCCTCCTTCACCTCCCCTCCTTCTCCCCTCGCTCATCTCCGCCCCGCCTGTTCTCCTCGTGCACATATTCTTCCTCCTGGCAGGAACGCGCGCGTCGGTTTTCCTCGGCGCCGTCGCCGCCTCAGCCAGCACGGGCGCAATCTCGAATGGCCGCATCGCGCAGCCGTTGGGACAACCCCGCCTGGTGACACTTACAGGATTCCGATGACCTGCTCGGATTAGTAACATGAGCTGCGGGCCCCAACTGGAAGGAACTCCCGCCGGATATTTCCTCGCAGTTCACTCGCAAACGAGGCCCCCCGCATCAGACTGCCGGCGTACGTAAACTTGGAAAGGCCAAACATGACGACAGATACAGGATTCCGATGGCCCGCTCGGATCAATAACATGAGCTGCGGGAACCATGGGGAGGGGGCCCCCGCCCGGGATTTCATTTCCTCGCAATTCGCTCACAGACGAGGCTCCCGACGGAGATTTCCGCCATATTCAAGATTGAAGAACCCAAGCGTGACGACAATTACAGGATCCCGATGACCCGCTCGGATTAGTAACGTGAGCTGCGGGCCCCATATGGAGGGAACTCCCGCCTAAGATTTCCCCACAATTCACTCACAAGCGAGGCTCCCGCATCAGACTTCCGCCATACTTAAACTTGGCGAGGCCAAAAATGACGACAGTTACAAGATCCCGATGACCCGTTTTGATTAGTA